TTGATACATTTATTTATCTAATTGCCGGCCACATATGAGGGTTGTTCATAACTTACAACCCTTAAAGCTTTTTGTGCGAAACGGGTTTGAACCTTTTATTAAAAGCAGCGTGGAGCAAGATGGTCTCTAAAAGGACCAAATGTTAAATGGCCCTATGTTCATCATAAATTTTGTCTCGTATTCAGTTAAAGTATCAAAAAAGCGTCATCTTTACGAAGGGTTCCTACTCCTGCAGTCCCTTTTAGCCTCTTGGATGCTGCAAGATGTTAGTTAAAAACCCTTTCGATGGGTACTGGTAGCTATCCTCATATTCCAGAACCAAATCAGGCTCTATTTAATGGGAAAAAACAACAAAATAACCGTAAACTCCAAATTAATAGTGCTCAGCTTATCGAATCTACATCCCGCAATAAAACAGATTTACACAGGCTTAAATTTTCTAACCAGCAACCGGTAGCAATGGCATAGAAAGTTACTTACTGGTTAGCGTTTTTTTAGCGAGTTAGTTTTCTACGGGATGGGGTCGCTAACCTTATTCCCAACCTTCCTCCTTTATCCGAGCTTGGGACCGGCAGTAGTCCCAGAGGGGCTCCAGGCGGAGTTAAAAAAGAGTGGGCTTTTGAAATTTCTTGAAAGAGCCATAGCCTCATTAAATGTTCTCTATGTATCAAGTCCGCTAAGTTTCAGACAGGTTCAAAAGTAAACTCAACTGGTACCTCTGCCCTGTGAAGTTGCAAGCAGTAACAACCCGACCACTACACAACTTGTTCACCCGACCTTGAAGATGTTACTCAACCCTAAGCCCATGCGCACAGTCATGGTCGACATACACATGTAAATCCAAAGCAGATCGCAGGACGTTGATCCAGACCGCCTCATGATTAAAAAAATCGATCATTAGAAAAAAACCAAGCAGTATGTGGTCAGTTGGGGAGTCACTCAAGAAGTATCCTGACTCGTATACAGGCAACTCAGAATTTTTAACTATAGTTCACGAGGTCTTTGAACTAACAGCTTAGTTTGCAGAAGTTAAGCTGCCTCATGACATTGAACAGTGGCGATATATTTTGAATGGACTCAACCTGATCAGTGAGTGTGCCAATCAAGTCACAAGACTTCCCATACGTCTATGTATTTGTTCTTCTTTCGCCTTACAAAAGGGTGTGTCTCCTATTGTCCTTTTTGTTTGTGTATACGTTTCTAGGAAGTCTCTTCATATAAATGGTGAGAACAAATGGTAGTTGTGGTTGACCAACCTGTTGCTTCCAGGTAAAGAATGTAATACATTGTGACGGTTGCAATTTATGGTACCACAAAACACTGATTGGACTAACTCCTTCCACAAATAAATTGTGTTGCAGATCGGTTTCACGATGTTTGTGCAAAGTATGTTGCTCATGAAAATCCATCTGTAAAAATGCAATCAAGGTGCTGAAAATTGTACTCGCGCTTTTTGACGACGTGAGTGATCCAGAAGACTCTGGTCTATTGTGTACAATAGATCATGTAGTTGTCATTGTCGATCTAGCTTTGAAGCCTGACATCATAGTTGCGAAATCGTCACCTGCTAAAAATAGGGAATCCACTAACCTGAAAGTGACCTCTACAAACAAATCAAAACGCACGACAAAGCGTTTCAACGTCAAATAGAATCACAAATAAAAGGTCTTAAGTACTCCGTGACCAGTTGCAGTGCAAATCAACCCGAATTAGAGCTCCATCTCAAGGACGCTAATACATCTCGAAGGAACATTTCAAACGTGACAGCTTTAACGAGTAGGATGAAGTTGCTTGTCGGAAGGCACTTAGAAAGCCGTTGAGTATTACTGTCCTAAAGCAGACTACTCTTGCCCTAGATACATTCGTGGGAATATTAGTTTATACGTGGATCATTAAATAGGTCAGGAATGCTTCTTAAAGTTATTTCATATGGCCCTTATGATATTGATGCAAACTATCCTTAAGAGTCGGTAAAACGTCTCGAAACAACAATCTAAGAACACCATGAATAAAATCCACAGCGTTTTTAAACAATCCATATGATCTAGGAGCGACTGTTATTAAATGATTCAACAATTAAGTGATTTGATTGGGAGTTTATCTGGAATAAAGAAAAGATGGAAAAATCTTTGTGGGATTATCTTTCACATAAAATCATCATTTAAAATTCAACCATTTCGCCCTATTTTACTTCTAAATCATGTCGTTTTTGATAAACAATGTCGTAAAAGCTATTAAGTAGTTAAAATCCCTCCTAATCCAGCAGTGGACAAGCAATATATCGTTAAAAGTACAAAGATGGTAAAACCTAAAAGTGAAATGAATAAATGGGAAAAATGGATAGACATTAACTGTATATCAAAGATTTATAGGAAAATATAAAATTCATCTAAGTCATTGATTCATACCAAGATGTCACTAAAAGTATTCTACTGCTAGACGATAAGCTAACATCAATGCCTCATTCAAGTTATCGATGAATATTCGGAAACTGAATAATTTGGGGCTAAGTGAATTATTTCCTTTAGCTGCTAAAATTATTATAATATTGACTAAGGGTTTGTATGGGGCATTTAGTTTGAACGCTTATCTCTATGAGGTTGTGTAGAAACAATAAAAGCAGTCTTACTCAGAAAGCCGAATGCGTACATATTGAAGATGTATCCATCGTCCTTAATGTATGATCTGAAAATTAATCATGAGTCGTCTCTGCAACAGATAGATTTCGTGTCCATAAACTTCATTAGGCCAGGCTGTGCAATAAATCAGCTAAGCTAGCTACCTACTTAAGGTGATGGTATCATACATAACATACTTCAGATACTTCTGGCGGTAACGGTAATTAGCATGGGATTAGGTTGAAAAATGGATAGAATGGGGTAAATGAAAACCCATTTAACCCTTAATATAACTCACTTTGCGACTAAGCCTTGTTAAGTTCATGCTTTTGTCTGGAGTCCCAATGATAATCGCGAATTATGGTCGTAAACCTCATCGCAGAGCGAATTTAAGCATAGATTCTCGGTAGTTTTGTAACAGATGGTGCAAAGAAAATGCCGTAATTACGGACGCCAATCTCTTACCTTCCAACTGCCACGTGGAGAGCCTATATTTCATCGCATAATCAAAAGATAATTACATGCTGTGAGTCGCGTAGCCTTTATACGGTACTTAACCTATACTATCACCATCCAATTCTTGCACAGCCGTTTCTAGAAAACTGTTGATGATTGTGCCTACATTGAACAATCTTGTCTAATTTGACTGAGGGTTTAAAACAATGAAAACATGTTTAATTAGGACATCTGGTATATCAGTAAGTCTAGACAAAACCCTCTATATTATAATCCATCATCACAGTGTTGTTCAACGAATCAAAGGCAAGTGCATCAAACAGCCACTCTTATGTCTATACATCAATGCAGACTAACTGGTTGTGGTCTGCGTGATAATTGTGGCCACTACTTGTAACCCGAAGTCAGCTCGAAGTATTTGTTTTTTATCTTTTACTAGATATTGAGCTTAATATTTCTTCTCAGATATCTCTCTTCATTTATTTCCATTGAACAATACTCTCCATGTCGAATATTAAATAAAATAAAAATTGATACTACTATTACTTTGACTTTTATCTTAGTATTGATGTACCATCATCTTACGGATCAGCGTTTATTTGTTCATTATCATTATCAGTGGTTGATAGTTTATTTTGTAGTCTTACTAGCATAATTCCATTCTTAACAATTCTATACTCCTGACACCTATAAAAGTTCTTTTTTTCCCAATGAATTGTACCTTATATCATGTGTTGACCGAAGCAAGACAAGTATTTTCCATAAATATCGACATTTCATCAAATTTATTCGTCCCAGAAATTCCACGTCGTGCATTATTTGCCGACTCTTGAACTGGTTGTAAAAAGCGGAGAGGTGGTCAGTGTATAACATGGTGTTGTGGTATGAAAGAAAGCTACAAAGGGATGGCTTCTGTTTGTCCTTTACGACTCCCTGGCTGGGGTCCTAGAGAAATGGTACAACACAATGAATAGAGACGTTATCAGATATGGCTCGGAATAGAAGCCAGTGGCGATCCTGCTGTAACCTTTTACTTTCTTCATTAAAAAAAGGTTGTTTCTTCCTTCACTGATAGATTTCTTCCGATTGTACCTTTCCGTTTCCCCCATTATTATTATTATTATTATTACACTACCTTACACTAATCTGTGGTCGTTATTGTTCTTCTTTTTCTTTTCTCTTCGAATTCTCATTGTTTCTTGTGGCGCATATCTATTTTTTTATATTTTAACATATAGATATTGGTACAAGGAGGCATCAAATACATATGCGACACACAAATCTCATTCGATTTGTGTGAGGGCTGTGATACTGCCTGGGTGCCCAAACCGAAGCAGGGCATATCTATTTGGTGCCCTCTTGTACTTGTATTCAAATAAATAAATATGTTATGTAATTTCAATGGTTAAGATCATGAGTCAGTTGAAGCTAGACCATCATGGAAAACCAGGAAGCACTGGACGGCCGTTTCGTCCTATTGTGGGACTCCTCAGCAGTGCGCATCCACGATCTCGCCCCCTGCGAGTCTCGAACCCAGAACCTACTGGTTTCGCACCCGAGCACTCAACCATTAGACCACTGAGCCGGCATCCAACGGTGTTAATTTCTAACTTCAACTAATCCACGAAATTGAGCAACACATTCACCATTGTCTTCAGTGAGTTACTATCTCACAACAGACCTGGTTGAACTCCACTGGTCACTACTTCTCACTAGAACTCCAGGATATACCTCGTGAAGCCAGTCACTAGTGAGCAAATGTTGATTAATATCAGATGGGTTTTTGTGGAGATTGTATTAATATTATGTGTATATATTCTGTATCTACTATTTGAAACTTTACATTTTCAGATATCAATCCTTTGTAAAATTCAATTGTAGTAGTTGCTTCTTGTTTATCTGGATAATCATCATAATCATCATCTAATGTGTAGTCAAGAAGAAGACGAAGATTGTTCTTGTGTATTCAATTCAATCATTAAAAAGAATGAAAGGTAATCAATCAAATTGAACTTTTATTCAAATAGACTATCCTATTGTATTAAATGTCAATCACAATCATCTGTATTAATAAGAAAAGATGATCCATCTTTATGCAAGTAATTTAAATTTTTTTTTATCTTTATAAATTAGATCATGTTTTATTCATCATTGTTTACATAAAATCAATATGATATTTGGAAAATATAAACTAACAACTACTCAAATGAATAATAGTAGTAATAATAATAATAATAATATGGCTATAGCATATTCTGGTGGTCAAAATTCATCTACTTTATTAAACTTAATCATACAAGTAATGATTACCTTTTTTATAATAATATAGATAATGTAATTTTTAGAATCATAACGATAATGGAATAAAGAAACGAACTAGGAGGATGATCCCAAAAGTATTTCATCTAATTGGTATGTGAATAAGTTATATATTATCTTTAACTTTTCATTGAAAGAACCATATGATTCAGAAGATAATTTGAAATTCATTACAAATAACATGAAGAATAGTCATTATGAATATCATAATATTTCTATGAATGAAGTAAATTGATATTCTTTCTCTTTTCTTTATGAATTGATTGTTTGTGAAGATTTCAGAAACAAATAAATGGGCAAGTAAATTGACATCTTCATTACTTACTAGTCAACAACGATTTCATAATTATTATCGATTAAATTTATTAATTGATTGTGCAAGAAAACTTGATTGTAAATATTTAGTTTTAGGTGAATGTAGTAATAGAGTTACAGTGAAATATTTATTAGAAATTATAGAAGGTCGTGGAAATCATAGCAGTATACAAACAGTAAGCGATTATTGTATAATAATAATAATAATGTTTTTCTTATTGTTACCTTTTTGATTAATAAGTTCATTAAATGACAATTGTTTGTTTAGTGTACATTATCATTTTGTCCCCAAATGCCCTGATACGGACGAGGGTGGGTAGAGAATTAGCTCTTCCTCTCCAAATACCCCTCACTTGGCCAAGTGTATACAATCACTGCCAATTAAGTCCTATTCACTGCCTTCTTGCGGTATTACTATTGTTTACGAAATTAAGAGGACAAAAAGTGACTGTCCGGCACTTTAACCGAGTTGATGGATACGCAGGATCCATTTAAGAGATAAAAACCCTGATTTCAAACCAATGATGCACATGACTCCAGGATCCTGAAGGGACAAATGGCGTATAGATCTATTGTTGGTCACCTGCTACCATGGGATTGCATCTCATGACATTGCTCCATTGCCTTGTGGATCAGACCTTTAAGTCAAAGGTTCTCAGTGTGGCCCCTTCTAAGGAAACTATCTGTTTCGGTTAGGGCATCTGGACAGTATCTCAACCCTCAAGCAAATCAAATGATTTATGTGGTACACATCTATTTGGTGCCCCCTGGTACCAATGTTTATGTGTTTAAATAAAATAAAATAAAATTCTATTACATTCTATTGAAATCATCAACCGATCAGTGTTAGACCACCATTGAAAATCACAATCCCGCAATCATAGATACGTACTTCTGAGAAGTCGCATACTAGTACGAAACGGCCGTCTAGTGCCTCGAGGTTTTGAATATTGGTCTAACATTGATCTATTGATAATTTCAATGGAACTCAACAATCTCCACAACCCCAAACTGAACATTCTACTAAATTTTAAGGTGGTGAAATTGTCTGGTTAATTGGGAAATGTACCAATTGACTCCGGTGACTTGTGTTGATCCAATAGATACAAATTCAATGGTCCCTTTCTTCAAACTGAATTGGTTTTATTGGTTTGCTTCAACAAAAGTGTCCTCTTCGATAATTTTACGTTCAAAGGCTGTACAACAGTATATTTTTATAAATATCATTTCGTAGATAGATATTAGTTGTTAGTATGTGCATGTTTCTAGTGAGTAGTATTTATGGTGTAGTTCTTAATAACGAGTAAAATAAATTAATATATATAGACTAAATCATTAAACTGATCCCAAATGACAACAGGACATGCAAGAGATGATTAATGCTTGAAGATACAGCTACAACAAAACAAAACTCCACCAAGATACAGCTACAAACTGACACTAACGACCTTACAAACTATTTTTGTACACATATTTTTAGTTTCATGTCATATCTCTAATGCTCTTTTAGTACAAAAATATGTGAGTAAACCTCTTGGTGGTTTCGTTTCGACCTCGTAAATAATCTTGAATGTTGGTCACAAAACCTCATGATCATAGTCAACCAGGTGTTGTAAAATAGGGGATTTTACGTATGATGGAATTTTGTCCTTTACTGTTCCATCCTGGGGGTTGCTCTCGAATGCGTCAGGAGACGATAGACGACCGATGGACTTAGTTTCATAGAAGTAGATAAATAAATGTATCCGTATTTGATTTGTCTATCGAGGTGACTTGTGTATGAAGTTGCGTAATAATATATGGCTAGTGTAGGATATTCATAGTGAGGCTATATAATGTTTTTCGTAGCAGTTTAGCCAGGTAATATCGTCTGCAGTATTACGTTTAGATTATATATACATACGTCCGTCCTACTTTATGGCAGTGAAACATGGCCGGTAAGAGTAGAGGATATTCGTAGGTTACTAGTATTTGATCATAGGTGTCTTCGAAACATTGCTCGTATATCATGGGACCATCGAGTAAGTAACACAGTTGTTAGGAAACGGGTACTAGGTAAGGATGGCAAATCAATTGATGAAGTAGTGAAAATTCATCAGTTGAGATGGCTTGGACACGTGTTACGTATGCCCAACGACCGACTGCCTCGACGTGCTATGTTTAGTGGTATAGGAGTAGGTTGGAAGAAAGCTAGGGGCGGCCAGATCAAAACATGGCACAAGTCCATGAAGTCACTGACAAGTGGACTGAGTCATGTTGGTAGATGTAGACTACCTGGTTGGGGACCGCGAGACGATAGCAACCGATGGTTAGAGACGTTGAATGACATGGCTTAAAATCGTTTGTAATGGCACAGATGCATCCATTCTTTGTGTTCGCTTAAATTCTGATCTCCTGAATCATCCTTGTCTCTTTTTTTCCTCTTTCCAAATTTATTTCACTGGATTATACTCTTTAAATAACATCTCTAAACCCTAATCTTCCCGATTACTGCTTATACTCTTGCTACCTCTACCACTACGGGATTTGAATCGACAACTGCATCTCTGTGCTAATGTGGTGTGGCAACTCAAACTGATGTACATACGTACGAAGTTCTACGTTGTTACTGACTGACTGACTGATATATACATACGGCTGTACAGTTTCGAAAACAAGCTCGTCAAAAGGATTCCTTGGCTGAACAAATCATATGGTTTAGGTGTGTACTCAAGTTAGTACAGATATATTCATGAAAATTTTATGGTCATAGAGATTTAGTGATGCGATACCCACAGCCTTATCGGATCGCTTTATTAGAACATCACCATTTCTCGGTGTCAAATAATGTAATTTTCAAGGTGTTGTTGTTACGATGCATTCAAAATTGAACACAAAGTCCCAACTCCCAGTTTGTGGTATGCTGTCTTATTGTAGTATCGTTCTTTATTTCTTGTTTCATCTCCCACACCGAATATTTTGGAAACTACTGATAAATAACTGATGCTCATTTCTTGTTTTAACTCTATGTTTGTTAAGATATGGGGGGATGTGTCGTCTTTTCTGATTCCCTGCAGTTAGGCATGTATGGATATCAGTTAGTCTCGGTATTCGTACTGAGATTTAAATTTTAAATTCATCACCCATTACCTTAATATCACAATTGTATCTGATTATTGTGCACATATCTCTACAGCGTTTTCAAGCTAGTCTACCGTTGCAACTCTTTTGGTTGATTAAAGTAAATAAACCGATTGATAAATGTCTATATCTTATCTTTTCATGTAGTTTGTGTAATATCGCGTTTCCCACTTTTTATTCCTTTAAATCAACGATTTAAATTGCTCATCAATGAAAACAAGCGGTAAATCGAAGTGAGGTATCATAGTTTACAAGCCAAATCGATAGCTTGCTAAACTGTGAACTTTAAACTCGCGTCCTAGCAACTGTGATGGGGTGAAATTTAACTTCACTGTTATAAGTGTTCAATAGATCATTATTGCCGTGTGATTTGACGCAAGTTCGCATTAGTTCATTAGTTTTTTGTCACTTTTAATCAAATGACTAATAAAACGTTTTCTTTAATTCATTATAGTCATTCTTAGATGAACGATACCAAGATATAACAATTGTTAGACCATTACGTGATTTTCTGGCGAAAGAAATAGCTTTATACGCTCATTTTATGCATTTGGAATTTGTTACACCCAATGATCCATTAACATCAATTGTTCTTAAAAATCCTAATGTCAATACATTGGAAAGATTAACTCAAGATTTCTTAGCTACATTGCAAACTGGTGGATTCCCATCGACTACTGGAACTATTCTTAGGTTAGTTCACTTTATCCACTTGTGTTTTATATTATTATACTGTACACGAATGTGATTAATCACCAAGTAGTAACTAATGTTATGTATTATCTGTAGGCTTTATGGTCAATCAAATTTTATCGAGTTATGTTCGTATGATTTTACATTTCAAGTTTCCAAGGTAAATTTAAAAGAGCAAATAAAGTAATTAGCTTTATGATACAAAGGAAATGTATTATGTCTCTCTTGTTTCATATACTATACAATATCTAATTGAGTAATTAAAATAATTTAGTGAAATAACATACCTTAACTGATATGTAAAAATCATATCCTAAAAATCTTGTCAGTCAGTCAGCTACTATGTAGGATCAGGCACATATATGCATCGGTCCAAGTTGCCATATCTCATTAGTACAACAAAATGAACACCAAATTCATAGAAGTAGTTAATCCAGTGGTGGTAATATATAAAAGGACGATTGTATATAAGGACATAGTATAGAAAGAAAGAATTAGTTGATAGAAAGAATGACATGAAGCGATTTTAATCTCATAGTTCAAGAGAAGACAAAGAGTGTATATACCGACACCATTGTGATCGATTCTAGTATCTAGTACTCTGTACAATGCGATTACTGTTTGATTCAGTGGAACGAATTAGTAACATAAATGGTAACCAGATGTACACTATACAGCTGTAATGTATCATGTTCAACTTTTTACATTTTTAAATTCTAATCAATAAACTACTAGCGTTTAGTTTACATTATTCATGATTTAGGCAACTAAATGATTCCAGTTAAGTCAAACTATATTTATGTAGTTGTAATTCTGGTTAGCGTTTTTTAGCGAGTTAGTTTTCTAAGGGATGGGGTCGCTAACCCCATGCCCGACCCTCCTCCTTTATCCGGACTTCGGACCGGCAGTAGCCCCAAAGGGCCTCCAAGCGGAGTTTCAATACAAATGTCGAGACAGTTCTACTGTATGGGGTGGAAACTTGGAGAACTACGAAAGCCATCATTCAGAAGATACGTGTGTTTATTAACAGCTGTAGGAGAGAACAAACTAGATCCCAGCGGAGGAAGAAATCAGAAAGAAGCACTCTGAGTGGACAGGACACACATTGAGGAAAGCACCCAACTGCGTCACAAGGCAACCCTCACTTGTAATTCTCAAGGCAAAAGGAAGACCAAAGAACACATTACGCCGAGAAATGGAGACAGACATGAGAAAAAATGAATAACAATTGGGGATAGAACTAGAAAGGAAGGCGCAGGACATAGTGGGTTAGAGAATGCTGGTTGGCGGCCTACGCTCGCTCCACTGGGAGTAAGTAAGTCAATAACCCTATCTTCGAAATATATCCGGTTTTGTCATCAAATAGATAAATAGCATATCTTTTCAAGATTTACTCATTTGTTTTAATCGTAATTTCTTTTTTCCCATATAGAACATCTTCGAAAATTGTTCTGGAAAACGACTCTCAAATTACATGTAGTTTCTGTCATGTAGGTTGTCAATATTTTTCATGTTATATTAGAAATTCTTATTGTTCTATAAGTCAATGACCATATATAATTCATATAACTCATACACTTCTCAATCTTGAAATGAAATTTTTATTCCTGAAAACATTGAGTATTCTTAAATCTGTCAGTTTCATTCATCACATTATAATCTCCATGAGGTCGATTTATAACTAATACAACGTAATAAATCAAACCAATCTCTACATAACTTGTCAATTAAAATAATCCCGAGCAATCTTTATTAATTTTATAAAAAATGGCCCCTAATGTAGGAGTAAGCCGATGGCACCTCGTGTTGTACGCATATGGTCCCCCTCACTTTGGCAGCGATTTTTGTGAACCAAGTCCTCCTTCTTTTATCCGTTTTCATTCTCTACATTTCACCCGATCTCCTATTAAAAAGAACTACTGCTTCCCTTCATGCTGTTCGGATCTCTTTACGTCTGTTCTTTGTTTCTATTGCACATACCATCAAGAAAGGTGACACAAAGTGCTTGAACACTAGCCAGCTCCAAAGGTGGATTCAATGGACTGATGAATCAGAGCCGATAAAATAGCTGGTGATGACACGACAATAGAGGTCAGTGCGCCTAGACACTCGACAATTCGACAGGGGGGCGTGAATGTGATGAATGTTACTCACAAGATTGAGAGAAAAGACAGTCTAAAACCAAATTAGATGCAGAACACACAAGATGCGAATAGATGACTAAAGACTAGGTGTACATATTTACATAAATATTCTGTAATTTCACCAACCAAGCATCCTTTCTGTCAGCGTCTTGCTCTACACTAGTCACCAATCTTCTATTTGTCTCCTGTTGAGGGTTCTGCAGTTGAAGTTGGTTCTAAATAGTTTTCGTTGCTTCTTTTCTGGTCTCCAAATTATTCTGCATACACCGTACTCTTGACTTCTTAGAACTTTTCTCTTCGGTTATGTACTGTAGTAACTTCTACGCCACGTTCCGCTACTTACTTCTCATAAACGATTTTGTGAATAGCATTCATCATACTAGTATTGTTATAAAAGGATATAAATTGGTAAGATTTTATTAAGGTTGATGAATTACTTCTGTGAATTTATTTGGAAGAAGTATGACATAGTATCTGTTTTATGAATGGATATGTTACCCATAATCATTTCTAAATATGAATGCGTAATTAGTGTATTCTTCTGTTCATCAAAAAGTAGTCTGAATATATGAATTAAGTCTTTGATTATTATGTTGATCATTCAAGTAAAACCGACGTTTTAGTGTAAAATTAATCAACAATTCTAAACAGTTATTAATAATGATCCCTCGGTTTATCGGGTCATGGTTTCTTTCAAACGCGTTATATGACCATCTCTTAATGTTAAGACTCAGTTCATATCTTCTGTGATAAAAAAATGTTTTCTTCAAACCAGTTTATGTCAATTCATACTTTGACAGTGAAGTAGTTTGTAGCTAATAAAATCTTGATCTCCGGATTTAGTCAACTTATGCCGTGCTACGTAGATATGATTTCTGTCATACATTTCCAACAATGCAGTTGCACACCTACTTATAGGATCATTAACATCAAAGTGAAATGAGGTCAAGTAAATCAATCAGCATATAATAATAATAGAACATCTAAAAAGATAGGGAAGTATGGTAATATGTTTTAACGTTATCCTAAAATAAGTAAATATATATAGTGGGATTATCGTTCGGAGTGTATTTCTCAAAAACCTAGATAAAATCTTTGACAGTTGATAGGAAATTAGCAGCAACATATAAATAATCAGAGAAACTACCGAAGATTATTATATGAACTCAAAATTAAGTGAAGTAGTTCTATAATATAAGCCCAATACATTCCATTTCTCGTCTTTGTTTCTATTGCACATACCATCAAGAAAGGTGACACAAAGTGCTTGAACACTAGCCAGCTCCAAAGGTGGATTCAATGGACTGATGAATCAGAGCCGATAAAATAGCTGGTGATGACACGACAATAGAGGTCAGTGCGCCTAGACACTCGACAATTCGACAGGGGGGTGAGACCCCAAATGCCCTGGTACGGTCGAGAGTGGGGAGAGCCGGCTCTCCCTCTCCAAATGCTCTCACATGGCCACGCGTATATAGCCTCTGCCAGGGAAGTCCCACTTACTGCCTTCTTGTGGTATTACTGTTGTTTACGAAATTGAGAGGAGGAAAAACGAATGTTCGGCGCTTTAACCGGGTTGGTGGACATGGAGAGTCCACCTGGGGGAGTTGGAAAACCCTGATTGCAAACCAACGGTGCACATGGGCCCAGGATTTTGAGGGAACAAATGGCGTACGAACCAATTGTTGGTCACCGGCTACCATAGGAGTGCATCTCCTGACGTTGCTCCACTGCCTTGTGGATCAGACCTTTGGGTCGAAGGCTCCGGATGTAGCCTTCTAATAAGACCACCTGCTTCGATTTGGGCACCCGAGCAGTATTACAGCCCTCACACATATGAAATGAGATTTGTGTGGTGCATATGTTTTTGGTGCCTACTTGTACCAATATCTATGTGTTAAAATAAATAAATAAATGGTGCCTCCTTAGTAATTTTAACTAATTAGCTACATGCTTTTAAAATCTATTTCTTATGTAAATGTATGGTAAACGAGAACCCAGATGGAGGGAACCAATTTATCATTGAATACAAAATGTAAAAACCATACATTAAATACTTTATTTACAAGTCTCCTACCAATTGTCCTGTACGTCGTCCATGATTCTTTTAATCCTCAATTTCCCTTCCGTTTTCTTCAGTTCAATCTTCTTTTAACAGTCATTCCACTTCAGATTGGTGTTACATACTGCTTATATCTATCGACATCAGTAGCATACTCCTCCAACACACATGTATTATTGTGGTATCGTCATCAATTTTCATATTGATTATGTAGCTCATTGCTGTTTACTTTTATCTATGTAAGACTAGTAAAATCATATATTGAGTATTTCAGTTGAGTGGTGAGTATTTCATGTGCTTTCAGTTTTAGCATATAATTGTAAATTACTTGTCATTGAGCATAAACTATATAAGAAACCGTACGGATACAAAGAAGGAACCGGTGTTATAAATTGTATGAATCGACGTCAATAAGAATGTCATCCGTAAACTTATGTGATTTTTGTGTTTTTTAAAAATCTTATTTGAGATCACTGATTGAAGGGGTATGTAATTTGTTGATCAAATATCCGACAACTAATCTGGCATTCTTATCCTACACTGTGTATTACTTTCTCACTGAAATACTTAAAGTGAATGCTTTAAGTGACTTAAAAATGGTTGGTAGTATTACGTCAAGTTTGTGTTAGTTCACCTAAAACCCTGTTGTACTGTATTAAATATATTATTTCGTATTTCAACAGTTGAGATCATGAGTCAATTGAAGCTAGATCACCATGGAACACCTGGAAGCACTGGACGGCCGTTTCGTCCTAATGTGTATTTGTTCTTTATTTGCTGTAACTTGTTAATCATTTATGTATTTTTAAGGATTTATGTTTTTCTTCTCTATTTTAGTTTCCTGTATCCAATACTGACTCTTCCAATGATCCTGACAAGTTGGCTACAAAATCTATGATACATTCTTCCTCTTTATCTAACCCTGATTGTTTTAATAAAAAACAATTACTGGAATTATTGACAAGGACTTATGTCTCTCCTGTTCACTAATGTTCAAAGAACTTTCTCTTTGTACATGAATAATAATTTTAATACTTTTTCCCAGTTTCTGTTTCGCTACTTTTTATCCCAAACACTACGGGCCCACTAGATAAAAAAAGTGGTAACACAATTAAAGATGCAATCTTCTAAGAAATTGTTTTCCATATGCTATCTTAGTTAATGTTTGAAGACTGGTTTGTATCGTTATCCCTCAGCGATTTCGAATAGAGTATGAGTGTGGAGAGCTTCGTACTGAAGTCCTTAAGGTTAGAAAACGTTTATGATGTTTGATGCACACCAAGAAGCTGTCCTGTGATCCTAATCCATTAGGGGGACCCTAGATTGTGGAGATCTGATAGGTAAGGGAAGTTCTCGCGTGCCTTTCTTGAAGACTTGACCCTATAGGAGGGGTGTGGACAAAAGTAGTCCGACACCTAGTATCGAGTGCCAGACGTTTTCGCTCACTAGGCCCGACTAATCGCTTACTCTGTTCGCTCTCTCCGCTCATACCTCGACATCAATTCGTAAATGACACTACTGAAGAAATTGTGACTCAGAGATTAAGAAAAGCTATACAAAAAGCATTTAATGCAGCCAGACTAAATGCTATCTTTTACAACCACCTCACAATAAGAACGACCAATAAAGACAGATTGCCTGAATTCGCCAAATCCATGTGTATTTATCGATCCAACTGCTCCTGTGGAGTCAGTTATATAGGACGTTAAATTCGGCAAGTTCGTATAACAGCACCATCCGTCGTAGTTAAGCAAAGAACAGGTAAGAGTGATTAAGAGTTCTATTCTCGCTCACTTGGGTTGACACAGGTCATCAAGTTGAACTGAATAAAGCTTTTAAAGTTATCTACCATATTCCATCGAATATGTCACATGGTTTACGAGTGCGTCCTTTTTTTGCACAGTGCTGAAGCCATCGCAATCCATATTCACAAGTCTAACCTTTGCATGATAAAGAAGTTTGTTCAACCACTTTCGCTACATTGGCCGTCGATATAGGGACCCTTGTAGCAAAACTATTTTCATACTTTTTCCATTTTGTTTTTCTTCATTTTTTGACCTTTGTATTTTCGTATTTTTTCTCGACATTCATCTCTTGATTCTAACATAACTACTATTCAACTGACCAATCATTAAGATATTCTGTTCCTTTTTCTTTTTTTATATATTATGCAACGAGACAACTTCTTGATTATCGAATAATTACTTTGATTTGTATGGACTGAGAGGGAGAGCATCTTTACGGTATACAAATTACTAAAGTAAGTTGAGAACACTCGGGGTTTACCATAATCGTTCTCCACTAATAATGCAGAATTACATTCTTCCCATAATGCTTGGATATATCACCTTTTCTTGGTCCTTTGGTTTAGTTACGAATATAAGCGTTTAAGGTGTTCCATAGTGTCCTTAACAAGTTTTTCGTCGTACGATCTTCTAGACTTGCGAAGGGTTGAGACACAAATATCTCGAGGTCCTCGATATTGAGAAATTATCTTGTCAGCATCCATTTTCATGCATTGCCCCATAGCGAGTAGATGCAGTGCTAGCCCCTTGGAAGGAACACCTTGGTATTTGTATAAGCTATTTTTTATATTTGGTATGTAAATCCCCGAAATCAATCGATTAAGCAACTGTGTAAGAACGTGGTCACCAAAATTACGTTTGGAGAGTTGATTCTGCAAAATAAGAACAAACCTTTAACATTCTTGTTTCTCGGACGAGTATTTTATGAAATTTTTCTCTTTCACGACATTCAAAATTTACTCCTATGACAGGATTTAGTATTAGTTCTTTAAAAGTTCCATAGGAAAGTGAGGTAGATTTTCCTGTAAATGCTTAATTTTTTAATCAACTATAGGCATCTATTCTGATAAAAATGTAAGGAAATGAGCCACAATGTTATCATTTTTCCTAGTGATACTCTGTGTAGAATCCAAACTAATTAGTTTGGATTGTTTCTATGACTACTTTTGTTTCTTTATTAAGCAGTACCTTAATTTGTCGAAGTTTATGAAAACTTCCGTTCCGCATGCGGTTCATTCAAACACTGTACGTTACGTAGAATTGTCGACAAATATCCCCCAAATACACGACGTAGGGGGGGAAAAGCGACATTTCCCCTAAATAACGGACGTAAAGGCGAAAAAGCGACATTTCCCCTTTGTTCGCCTTTATTTCCCCTTTTTGTGTTGCTTGGGAAGGTTTGGACCGAAGAATAACTATCTAGGTAGTTTAGATAGGTACTATTGCCTAGTTGAAATCAAAATAATGTGATTAGGTAAATGACGGTTCTAGATTTAATTAGAAATATAAATGTATATTACTACGCAAACAAATATAACCACCCAGCTATCCAACCAATAATTGTTCAATTAATCAAATAAGTAAGGAAGTTGATAAAGGATGCGAGAAAGTTACCAATCACAACAAATGAATTATATTCTTTCCTTTCTGGATACATCACGTACAGATTTGTTCAAAAGATTATTTATTTGAACACATAAATATTGGTACAAGGGAGCACTAATATATATGCGCCACACAAAACAATGAGAATTTAAGGCGAAGGAAAAAAAGAATAATAACGAAGAGATTGATGTAAGGTGGTGTAATAATAATAATGGTAAAAATGGGGGAACGGAAAGGTACAATTAAAAGAAGTCTTTCAGTTAAGGAAGACACAACCACTTTTTATGAAGAAAGTAAAAGAAGGTTACAGCAAGATCGCCACTGGCTAATATTCTGATCCATATCTGATAAAGTCTCTAGCCACTGTGCCGCACCATCTCTCGGACCCCAGCCAAGGAGTCGTGGAGGACCAACAGAAGCCATCCCTTTGCAGCGTTCTTTCATACCCCCGACACCATGTCATACACTGGCCACCTCCGCTTTTTCCAACCAGTCTCAGAGTCGGCAAGTAATGCACGACGTGGAATTCTCTGGGACGACATTCGTAGAACATGTCCAAGCCACCGAAGTCGGTGTTTCAAGATGGTGACACCAATTGCATTATCGTCTCTGTGCCCGAACACACGATGCCGAGCCTCTGCATTACTAACATGGTGTTGCCACTGGATGTCAGCAATCCTTCGGAGACAACGATGATCGAACACAGAGAGTCGTCTAACGTCCTCAACTCGGAGAGGCCAGGTTTCACAAGCATAGAGCAAAACTGCTCTCACCGACGCGTTGTAGATCCGACCTTTTACAGCCAGACTAACATCACGAAGGCGCCAAAGGTGGCCCAGATTGGCATAAGCCGCTCTGGCTTTCACTATTCGTGCATTGATCTCATCACTCACACCCCACCAGCACTTATGCAGCTACCTAGATACACGAACTTCTCGACTACTTCTATCTGCTCACCATCCAGGGTGAGTACAGGATTAGGATCCTGCCAGTCTTGTAGAAGTACTTTGCACTTCGAAGGTGCAAAGCACATACCATACCTACGGACACTGATTGCCAACTGATTAAGTGCGGATTGCATGCCTTGGGCATTATCGCACAGTAAGACAATATCATCCGCATACTCAAGGTCGAGAAGTCTTTCTCCAGGCAACAGATCCACACCACCATTACTTACACCCATCAGAGCTGTTTCCAGAATGTCATCGATGGCAAAGTTGAAGAGGAATGGTGAGATTGGGCAACCCTGCCTAACCCCACTGCTCGAATGGAACAATGGAGAAAGGTGGTTGTATGCCCTCACTCTGCCTGAGGTGTTTGTATATAGGGCTTTTAGGATGTTAATAAACTTCTCAGGCACACCCTTCTTCAATAGACAATCCCAGAGAACAGTCCTGTCCAACGAATCGAAGGCAGCCCTGATGTCAAGAAACACTACGATTGTTGGCCTTTGATAAGTATGGCGGTGTTCTAACATTTGGCGGAGGGTGAAGATATGATCAATACATCCTCGACCAGAACGAAACCCAGCCTGCTCCTCGCGAGTCAATCTTTCTCGGGTTTTGAACAACCTACGAAGTATGACGGAAGCCAATAGCTTGGACGCAATCGGAAGTAGACTTATCCCCCGATAGTTGTTACAGGAACGACGTGAACCCTTTTTAAAGATAGGGACAACTATCGACTCATTCCATGACGTTGGTACACTCTCTAGCTCCCAAACTTTTGTGAACAACGTCGTCAATTCCTTAGTCAGAAAGTCACCACCATCTTTAAAAAGAGCCGGAGGTAAGTCATCTGGGCCAGGTGATTTGTAACGCTTCAAGAGTTGGAGTTCCTTGCGGACTTCCGCCTCATTTGGTGGATCAGTCGTCACCGGCCATGGAGGGCAGGACAGTTTGACTGATGTTGCCGGAGCAGCAGACCAGTTGAACTGCCCTTCGAAAAATTCTGCCCATCGTCCAAGACGTCGATGGATGTTAGTGATTGGCATCCCATCATCCTCGCAGATTGTTTCGCTCACACCAGACTTCTTGCTGCCAGTGGCTCAGATGAGTTGGAAGAGCTTCCAGTAATTACTAGATACAGCTGCTGCTTCCAACTCATTAACACGCTCCGACGACCGGGCTTCTCGGTCCTTACGCAAGATTTGCCCAATTTCCGGCTAGTACTACAGTATCTGTCGAACGCACTTTCTGGAGAAGAACAAATAACTGGTGATAAAACTCATCCTTGATTGCATCTGGGCTGCAATCTGTCGGGGCATAGGCGTAGATGACGAAGAGATATCGTTTCTCACGCCGATTTCTTCTCAATTTGATGGAACTTTCTAATCTAACAGCAAATAATCGACTGTTAATGGGGATCCAATCAATTAGTGCTGCCTCAGCTCTAGCGCTTAGTGCGACACCAACTCCAGCAACAACAGATGAAGATGCCACAGCGTCCCCGGATCAACGCACGTAAAACAATCTTTTGAAGCGACAGATGGGAGCGAATTTGTAATACTTCACCAGAGTCTTGAATACGGGTCTCGGATAGACAACAAACATCAATATTAAGACTTTCTAAAGACACAGC